AATTACGCGAGCTCCACGGCTCTTTTCAGCTGTCAAAAAGGGCTTCAGATGCACTTGATCATAGCCAAAAGGTCGTAACCTGGCTGTTTCGTGCTACACTTGATCCTAGCCAAAAGGTCGTGACCCAGCTAGTGAATGCTACACTTGATCATAGCCAAAAGGCCTTGGCCCAGCAAAAACCGAACTTGGTACACTTCTTCATTTGTGCGGTCTTCCACACTCCCCCTAGGTGCTAGCACCTATTCGGAGCCGCACCCAGTCCAAAACCTGGCCTCGTTTCAGGCCTCAGCTCAAGCCCCATCTCACTTCGAGCGGAAGAGGGTATACCCCCACCACGTGTCCATGTGGAGCCCTCTCCTGCCGTTCCTCTCGTCGACCAAAACGGTCTTTCGCTTCCCGATCAGCGGCCATGCCACCGTCATCCTCCACCGACTCCACTCTTCTTCCAGGAGGATCTCCGCCTCAAAGTCATACAGCTTCTTCCGGGTCTGGTGGTGCACCCGGATGCCAATCTTCTTTCCGTTCGATCAAGTACTCCCACGAATCCTTTGCCGCAGTTCTCGGCGGCGGCGTAGAAATCACCTTGAGGACCGCGTCATTGATGAACCCCTTCTGGAAGCCAGGAGTCCTCAGATAGTCCCACATCTCTTCCTCGTGGATCCACTTCCCAAGGACCACCCCCTCATCGACCGTGGTGACCAGCCGTAGTGGTTCTACCCTTGGTAGTCGCCCTTGAGGCGGTGCCTGCGGTGGGGTCCCACCCTCCTGAGGTTGATCTCCATCTCCTCCACTTCCACGAGCCCCTGAGTCTTCCTGCTTCGGGGGTCCTATAGGCCATCTCCTGGATCATGCGCCGCAAAGTGCACCCCCTCCGAGTCCAGCATCACCCAGGTGCCCCCATGCTTTCGCCGTGGACCTTGTTGGATCATATAGCGATCCCAAGCGCTCAAGTTCAACCCCAGATTGGCGTGTCTCCTTCCCTCCGCCTCGGCATCATAAGCCCCTCGACACCATAGCTGAGAATCGGGTACCCGAAGTTCATCAGCGGGTCCTTGATGATCATGACATAGTTCCCCCTCTCGAGCGGTCTCCGTCTGAGTGCTTCGATGCCACCCTGGAGCATGTACTTGATGGTGTCCTCCTGGTTCAGGCCGGTTTGGAAGTAGTCCCTCACGGGTCTCCGCTTCCTCGACTGCCAGTGTCTGCCCAGTTGATGCCATCGGTACCTGCCGTGGACTGGCGTTCATCCTCATCGCCCGAACTGAAATGCGATCCACCGGGTGAGTGGTCCCGAGTTCTTGGTGCTGGTATAGGTCGGGTCGTCAGGCTCTGCCCACGGGTACAGGTCTTCGTGAGCTGAGTATCCAAATCCTCGAGTGCCTCTGGTCGTTGAGGTCAACTCCTCAACACAGTTCACATCCACCTCCAGGATCTTCTCGACCACCAACTGCGCCACTCGATCACCCTGGTAGATCCGGAGGTCCACATCCGAGTGATTTCGTATAGGAGCACTTTGACCTCTCCTCGAAAGTCTCGATCTATCACTCCAGCCCCTGTTTCAATCCCTCGGATTGCCAGCGACGATCGCGGCGCCACCCTTCCATAGCTCCCTCTCGGAAGTTCCAGTGCTATGCCTGTCTTGATCAGCACACTGTCCCCAGGCTGCACCATGGTTTCGATGGTGGAGTACAGATCCAGTCCTGCAGCATGTTCCGAGCCTCGGGAAGGTAGGATGGCCTCTGGAGAAAGGAGCTTCACCTTCAACTCGTCCTTGGGTTTGAACCATCGCTGCACTCCTGCTGATCCCACTCGAAGGATGATGTCCCCCAGGATTGCGATAGCTGCTGTCAGCAACACCAGGATCCACCATTCACCACTGCCCTCCTCCTTGGCCGTCTCGGATGCTTCGGCTCTGGTCACCAAACTCGCTACCACTATCATCAGCCCGAGCACCTTCAAGAATCTTGGGTCCGGCGTCCCTCCACCCAGGTCCATTTTCTTGATCTCGATGTTTTTCGCCCCCTCATCCATCGCTCTCAGCTTCAATGCCTTCTTGAAGTTCAGGAGTGGTTGCCCTGTGAGCTGCTTCGTCATGCCATCAGCAACCAACTCCGTCCCAGCCACGTGCTCCAGAGACACCTCCCTCATCCTCAATGCCTCTGTTAGTCCTGCCGCTCTGATCCTCAAGTGCCTCGTTCTCCACGACGATGTAGTCCCCGCTTGGCGATCGCCGCAGTCGAGTCGGAATGCAGTCTCACCTGGGCCTTCTCCCCAAGAACCGCCTCTACCAGCGACCCTGCCGATCTGCCACAGATCAGGCTTTCCAGCAGTGACATGAGCTCGGCCTCCGCAGTTGACAGGGTGATGAATGCCTGGCGCGTAGTATGCCAGGCGATCGGAGTGCCTCCAACGCACACCACAATGCCCGTCAGGCTCTGATGAGGCATACGAGGCATCCGAGTACACTTCCACCCGGTTCAACCCCTTCTCCAACTTCTCTTCATCCTGGACGATGCCGGAGATGTTCAATGCCTCTCCCCTGGTCTGCCGAAGATAGGCCCTCACCTGCTTTCCGATGGCCATCACTGCTCTTGGTCTCTTCGTGGCCCACTGGCACATGATGCTCACCGCTAGGCAGACATCTGGTCTCGTCCTCCCAGCCACCCACAACAGCTCGCCAGGGCTTGGGTCACCTCAGCCAACTGAGGGTTCTCTTCTTCCTCCCGCGTCTTGACCTGACCCAAGAATTCCTTCCCCTGCTCGTCATACTCCATGAACAGGTTCTCCAAGTAGGCCCGCATGGCGAAGTCCTGGCCCTTCTTCTCAATCTCCATGCCCAAGAACCTCACCGGGTCCCCTCCATCCTCGATCCAGGATGGCTCACCGATCTTCCAACTCTCCCGGATCTTCTGGTGCATGCCGTCGATCACCTCCCTGATTCCCGTGATGATGATGTCGTCGACGTAGGTGGCACACAGACCGGTCAATGTCCAGTCTCCTTCTCCATCTTGAAGACCATAGATCCCCCACACATCGTCCTGGGCTGTCTTCTCAACCTTGTAGGTGGCGGTCGTCCCTCTCCAGTTGAACTCTTGGATGCACTTGTCCCGGTGTAGACACCAGTCCTTCGGCGACGTAGTCAACCCGTAGAGCGCCTTTCGGACCAACCACAGCTCTTCTGGATGGTTGAGGACCTGTGCATCCTGGAACACACGAGGTGGTTCAACTATCACCACACCTCGGTCCGCAGCGTTGTCGACCGGGGCGTTCAAGAAAGCTGTCTTCACATCCACCGTCGAAGCGCTCCAGCCCTTCGTGGCCGCAATCTTCAAGAGAAGCCTCACCTCCGGACCTCCTGCCCCGGATGCAAAGGTGCTCTCATCGCTTCGAAGCTTCATGTAGTTCCCGCAGGCTACCCCTCACCACTTGTGCCTCCCCGATCCGGCCTTCCTGCTGAAGATCGCCTTTGCCGGGAGCAGGTCGAAGGTCTTTCCGGAGTCCTGTGCCTCCTCTCTCAGCTTCTCCCTGCTGATGGACTCCACTGCCTCGGACTCTACCACCAGAGCTCCATACTCGCATAGATGGTTTCCACTCTTCCAGGTTCTTTCTGACCTCCGACAGGCCCACCATCCGTGTCTGTAGGAATTCTGGGGCCTCCTCTGACTTTTCCTCGATCTCTGCGACCATGTTCTTCTCCTCCTGAAGGCTCGCCCGAACTGCTTCCTGGCTGATCTCCTCGACCTCCACGGTGAGAGCCTTCAGGAATCTTTCGTTCCTGACTTCCCCTGAGTCCTCTTCCAGCCGCTGAAACTCTCGAGACAGCATCCTTGCGCCTCGATGTTGCAGCTCCCCCCAATCTATACGGTTTCCATCTCCGTCTCCAACTGGAGGAGTTTGACCTTCCCTCGAGTTCTCCCCGGCCTCTTCCGTGGCTGCTGAGTCTCCTCGCGGTCATCCACCTCATGGATCACACCCGCTTCTCGATCTGGTAGTGCCACTCCTTCCGGCATGTCCTCCACCTGAATGATGTCGGCTGTGTGGAACAGCTTTCCAGTGGCGAGCTCCTCCACAAAGTATCCCTGCGAAGTCATCGACATCGTAACTGCCGGACAGAGCACTCTCACCTGAGTCCTGGTGGTGGACAGGTACTTTTGGCGATCGCTGTAGAGTTTCCTCTTGGCCCAGACCACCTGGCCAAAGGTCGCCAGCTGCCGGCGCTTCCACCCCATTGACTCCAGTTGACTTCGAAGTCGAGTATCAGCCCAGTGTCTCGTGGCGTGACACCAATAGCCCTCATCAAGACCTGCTGCCACCAGAAGGGTTCGAGCACCACGTTTTAACTGTGCCACCGCTCCCTCCGCTCGGCCGTTGCCCTTGAAGTTGTCACCATCTGTAAAGGTGCGACACAGCCCTCTATCTCGGATCCACTTGTCGAACATCTTGCTTTGATACTCGCCAGCACGATCAGAGTGGAGCCGCTTGAGAGGGAGCCCCAAGAAGTTCAGCTTGGCCACCATTCGTCCCACTGCCTCCAGGACTGCCGACGCTCCCCGATTCTCCATGACCTCCGCGAGCGTCACCTGCTTGACCTGGAAGTCTCTCTCCGGTTCAACGAGCGATGCCCACTCCTTCTCATCATCCAATCCCGGCCATGGTTCTTCTCGGTCAGAACCTCCTCGCTCCCCATCGACCACCGTCAGTCCTGGTCCATCTCCCTCAGCCCCAGGCAACTCGTCCTCCTCGTGGATCGGGATGATCGACTGGCCACCCTTGGTCACCGGAACCAAATAGACTCCCACCAGCACGTTCCCGAGTTGATCATCTGCCAGCATGAACGGTCCCGCAGTGTCGATGGATAGCGTATAAGCTTCAGCATGTGGGATCCGCTTATGCGCCCTGCCGCGTGATGCAGCGATGACACAGGACTTGCATTCTCTGCTATAGGGCAGATGCCCGTTGAGGAGATGTCTCTTCCAGGCGTCAATGTCCATGCGCTTCACCTGGAACTCGGAGGACTTCAGCGTCTCCCGAATGGCGGTCACTAGGGCCATCTTCAAGCCAGGCGCCCACGTAGACCAATCCTTGCTCTGCTTGATCCTCTCCGTGAGGTCCTCTGCCAGTGCCGTGTTCCCACCAACTCCTGGGCCTCTGATGTCCTGAAGCTCGGTCAACTTGGCAATGTTGGTGCCCAGCCTCGTCGGTTTCCGCCGGGCATGACCCATGGGCCCCTGATCGAAGCTCACCTCCGTCACTCCCCATGGATCTCTGAATGCCTTCCATTCAGGCCAGCTCCAGTACGAAGGGTACGTCTGGCCCCTTGCCTCATCCGTCTCAACATATTCTTCCGGGTCCTCCGGCTGCTCCAGAACTGACAACGTTGGCTTCGGGCCTCGAGCTAGAGCGGCTCGATGGTGAAGATATAGCTGGCGCAGGAACAACACCGTGTCGTCCTCCACCTGTTTTCGAAGATATCGATCCAGTCGCGGCAGTCCGAACCGATAGGGCCCTTCTCTCTCCCTGAGCGGAGGGGGGCCCGGCTACCGCAACCTGCTCATCGTCCGGCATGGAGGGCCTCCAAGTAAGGTGCACACTGTGCTGCTGTCAGCCAGGTCGAGCAGGAAGGAGTAGATGTCATCCCTCACAAGGTTGAGTCCCTGGTCAATCACCGTGTCGATGCACAGGACCACCCTGTTCTCAGCCTCAAGCTCCTTCTGCCAGAACTTTCGAGAGTCTCCGCTGAAGAGGTGGATGATGACCTCCTTGGCCTTTCGAACCCGCCTTCTCTCACGCCGATTCCAGGGAAGCCCTTCGCCCGTCCACCCTTTCTTCGGCAGCAGCCTCTCCAGGATGTGGTGTGGCACTTCCGGAAAGAGGTTCTTCAACTCCGTATAGATGCCTCGCCTTCTCGAGGTCCACTTCCAAGCCGATGTCCTCACCAGCCAGATGGGCCAACCGGGCTCTCTCCCGGACCATACTCAGCGCCTCGTCGATCGTAGGGCATCCTCCTTGGTCAGCAAGGTTCTCGTCCACGGGAGAAGCCTCAGGACTGCTGATCCTGCGGCCAGCTCTACACTGACCTCTTGGACGCTTGCCCATTCCTCTTCCGAAGAGGTTCTCCTCAAGCAGTGGGTGGCTCCTCCATCTAGAAGCGCCCTTCCTCCTTCTCGCACCTCTAAGCTGCTCAATCGGATGGCCTTCATCGATGAACTTGGCCTCAAACTCTTCAATAACGTGGTGGCTTCATTCAACAGTTCCTTCATCTCCCCGGAAGTTCCCGCTCCCTTGTCGCCTTCACTGGACTGGCCGTTCTCCATCGGCTCACTCCCCCCAGTCTTGGGCCCACCATCACTCATGTCCCCCTTCGCCTGGATGGTCGTGACCTTCTCCTTGACGGCTTTCACAGCCTGCTTCTCTGGTGACTCCTTCACCTTTGGCTTCACGGTCGGGCAGTCCTTCTTCGAGTGACCAGTTCCCGAGCATCCGAAGCACCTCCCCTTCTTTTCCAGCCCGCCCCAATCATGCTTGAAGCGGCAGTCTTGTCCCTTCCGGCACCTTTCCTCGGTGCCCCAGAACCGACACGGCTTCTCCTCACCCCGTCCCTCAGCTCTGGCCTTCACGACCCCGTTCTCCGCCTTCTCCTCCGCCACTGTGGTCATCGCCTTGACCTTGGTGACATGGTTCGACGGCTTGACCTCTGGGGGTGGTTGAACATCGCTGATGGCCAGTGATTCCGCCTCCGCCGTCAGCATGTCCGAGAAGCTGAGGACCGTCTCAAGAGTTGGAGTCACGTCAACTCCCAGGGTCGCTCTGGTGGATGACATCCTGAAGGCCACTTGATTGGAGGTCCTCCCCCACCAGCTCCGACATCTTGTCCAACGCCCCAAGCAACAGGGTCGCGTCCGGAGTGGCAATCTCCAGCTCTTGCGCTCTCCTCAAGCTCCTCCTCCAGCCGCGAAGCATCTCCACCACCTCGTTCATCGTCTGCGGTGTCTTGGGCTCGACCAGCTGTCGGAGAAGTCGAGATCTCTCCGCCAGCCCTCCTGGCTGGTACCTCCGAAACAAGGCATAGAGAACGTCCACCGAGTTGGAAGCCCTGTTTGCCAGCATCTCTGATCGGATTGACGCTGGCACTGCGTTCAGCAGCATCAACTGTCCTCTTTGCTCCAACCTGCTCCACACGGTGTTGCACTCCCGAGGCATTTCCGCCTTGATGTGAAGCCTCTGAACCGGCTCTGCTCGAAGCCATTCACGATAGGCCATCATAGCCCCTCGCATCACCTCTTTCCACCACCTCCATGAAGTCGCGCTGAGGTCCCTCATTGTCGGGGAAATGAGCTGGATCCAATCCCCCAGGACCAGTGATCCCGCCAAAGGTCAAGTTCAAGCTTGACCAGGCGTTGGTAGATTTCTGGATCGTAGCGGGCCAGCGTGCGCGAGCCGCCAGGCTTGAGATCTCTGGCGCGGAACCAGGTTCCATTCCTTAAGAAGCGTGTCGTTTTTTTGCTAAAGGTCTAAGGGAAACATAAAAAAGAACAAATCAATTAAGCGCGCGATTAGGTTGGAGGCCATCGCTACTAGGTTGGAGGCCATTGCTTGACGAACAAATGAAGAAAAACTAAATGAACACGCGCAGGAAAAAGGGACACATAAAAATTGTCTAACAGTACCAAAAGTCGTTAAAAAAGCTTTAAAGATAAACACGCATATCTAAAGAACAAAAAGCAAAACGAATAACATGTCTAACAAAAACACGTGTAAAGAAGACAGAAAGCAGGAAAATACCCGACGAAAGATGACAAACAAAGACAATGAAATGTCTCAAGTCACAAAGAAAAATGGTCTAAAGAAAAATAGAAAGCAAAAAACAAACACGCTATGGTGAAACCCAAACTGAAAGGTCTAACTAAAAAGCACAATTAAAAGTTACATAAAGAAAACAGTTAACAACAAAATGGAGATCTGAAGACCTAGAGCCCCTTTGAGATCCAGGGATATGACGCGTCTGGAGGTCTTGAGGTCACTGATCTAGAATTCTAGAGGTGTAGATCCATGTGTAGGTGTGGGGGCCTAGAGAGGCAGATGGCTTTAGGTACCTCGCTCGTCTAGAGGTCTTGAGGTGGAGATCTAGAGGTTAGAGATGTTGAGATCCGGGTCTTGAGACCCAAAAAAGCGGGCTAGGGATCTAGAGGTGAGGTCTAGTAAGTTGTCTCCAGAGCCTGCATCTAGAGGTCGATATCCAGAGAGGTTTGGAGTCTAAAGAACTGGAGATCAAAGAATTCTACCTAAAGGTCTTAAGGTCTAGAGTTTGAGAGGCCTAGAGTTAGTTCTTGAGATCGAACACAATAAAAGATCTAAAGGAAAAAGGAACAAATATTGTTAAGAAGAAAGGAAGGGGCTACAATTACTAGATCCGATTTCCCAACCCTGGATCAGAAAAAAACAACCGTGGATACAATACCAACTGACTTGAAGGGATCGGACACGTGTGATTGTTCTTTCCAGTCTACTAGCGACAGCCTCCAACCTAGAAGTGATGGCCTCCAACCTACCAGCCATGGCCTCCAACCTAGTAGCGGTGGCCTCCACCCCAGTAGCGATGGCCACCAACCTAGTAGCGATTGCGGGTGATTGTTCTTTCCAGTCTAGTGGTATCATGTATTCTCTGCAAACGTTTCAGAAGGGCCTCGTTACGGATCCTGAGATTTCCGACGTCTCACTTCAAATGTAACCTCGGACAATGGAGGATTCAAAGTAGTAGAAATCACCTCAAACCATCCTGGGTTCCAGGTGCTGATATTCCTCTTCAAGTCTGCAAACCAGGTGTACACTCCAGAATCATTGCATTTTGGACTTAAGTAGCGGTAGTTCAGCGCCATCTCTGCCCGTAAATGCACGGAGTTGTAGCCTGTGCCTGCACTGCTTGCATTCAGCTCAGGATCGGCGAGCTGCGAAATGCTGTTGCTCAAACGCAGGCGCTGCATATAAAACTCAATGCTTCCTGCCTCACCCTGCGAGTCCTCCTGTGCGGAACACACGCGATTTGAACTGCGGCAAGGTGGACTCACGGCCCCGACCCAGTTGATAATGGCCACATTGGGGGCGTCCTGGAAGAAGGCGTCGAACCAATCCCCTAAAGTCTGATTCCATCGTAGGAAGTTGTTATGTACGCACCAGACCTTGCCCCCTGGCGCCAACTCCCAAGAATCCAGGCCACGCATGTCTGAGATCCACATGAAGTATTCGCCACAACGCAGCGGCTTCCGGCGGCAACGGATCCACATCCCCATGCACTCCTGAACCACACTCTTTCGATTCAAGTGGCTGAAACGTGGCCTCTGAAAAGGGTTCAAGACAATGAAGACCACTGCATCCAGTATCTTCCCTTTCTCTTTGATATGTTCTCGAAACCCTCGCGCCGGCAATCCGGGGTCCAAAGTGAGGCTTCCTCGGATGCGCTTCGATACTTTTTGAAAGGATGCCTGTCTGCCGAATGGGATCCACGTAGTACTCAATTGGCTCCCCGCAGGGGATCCATCAGTGCTTTCAAGCCCGGGCCCGGTTTTGTTGTATAGTTGTTGACATAAAAGCCTGTATTGGTACCATCACAAAAGGCTTCATTGACACTGATACTGATCGCTTGCGACAGCTCCACATCATGATCTCCAGCTTCCTCTGCCTCCTCCGTCTGCGTCGGCTCCGCCGCTGAAAACTTGGATTTGTAAGCATGACGCCAGGCACGACGAAAAGATGTAACCAAACTCTTCTTCCTACCAATCCAAGAGACAGGTTCCTCAGCAAGCTTCGGTCGAGCTTCATACTAACAACAGTCCACTCCCAAGAGGCCATGTATCCAAGAAAAGCAAGCGAGCCAACGTGTGGAAGCTCGTCGTCATGGTCCAACCATAAATGCGGACTGACCACCCGACGCATGTTTTGCAAATCTAAATTGTGTCTCCTCGAAACAGTTCCACCGTAGCAAGTTTGACATTCGAAGGGAGACAGTTGAATTGGGCGCAATCGCCCTTCCATGCCATGAGCAGCTTCGTCCTCATGTTTGCGCATGTTCATAGGCCAGTGTTCAGGAGCCATCTCTGGTCGTTCAATTTGGAGAGAAATCCTTGTTTCATTTTTTGTTGTTTTTTGATGCACGTTACAAAGGATGGGGTTTGTTGCAAGCTGCGCCAGGCAACCGCCTGGCCCCGGTTCCATTTTAAGCATCAACGATTGAATTTTCCCTTGCAACGCGGTGTATAGGGTTTTTGCGGCTACAATCAAGCCCTGGGTTGGGTCAGACAATCTGTTGCAGTGCGCGGTACTGTCTCGTTACCGTTTCAGGACGGCCCGGGCTCTTTATCATATTTTCATTATGCACGACCAGAACATAATAAAACAACGTACCCCCTTTTTCCACTAAAAACCTACATTCTCAAACAAGCAACATTTCACCTCCTAAATCCAATAATCATCAACGATTCCAACAGTATAAACATGAAAAACTCAATAAACCAAAATCCAATTAAATTTGCCCGTTAAAAAAATAAACCTAGAACGACAGAAAATCAAAATATAAGATAAATAACGATTCATTAACATACGAATAAATTTATAAAAATTCATTTACCTTTTCCCATGAAATATCATATACTTGCCAACACACCTAAACGACGACAGCCTGCACCTGCCCGGACACAGAACATCCGCCCGGACATCTGAACACATTCCAGTGGAACGCATCCAGATCGATGAAAACGATTCCTGAGTGGTGTGACACCAGCCCATGCGACATCATCGTCGTTAATCCCAACAATGAGTGGAGCTCACATAATGCACTCTTCAGGTCATTTTGCTTCTGTCTTGTTTGTGTTGGACAGGATCAGATTTCGATTGCACACCATGCCCGTGGCCGCCTGCTTCAGGTACGACTGAATCTCGCAAGATCACATGATTTCGTGCTCGTTGACCAACAGGCCTGGTCCCTGCAGCACGGAGTTCGTCATTCTTTCAAAATAAAAACACATTTGGAATTTCCTGCAGCACTGTTTTGAACGCCTGCCTCAGAGACATCAGGTCATGGTCGCATTGAAATAGAGGGTCCGAAGCGGCGCCGTATGCTTCCGCTTTGGTGTAAGTTTGCTCTTGAAATTATTATCGTTGGTGGTAATTCGTTTCTTACCTCGGGTCTTCGTGGATTCCGACCTTCTGTTGTATTTGTAACACGACGATCTCCTCTATTTCGCACTCGACACAAAGGGTTGCGCACCAATCGTCAGACCTTTTTTATATTCCTCCCATGCAGGAACTCCTTCAAAGGTTTTCCCATTCATTGCAGATGGCCAGTGTGCCATTGGAGACCTTAGTCGCTATTGCCAAGGGGCATTTGCGAGTTCACTTGCTGTTGGATCTGCAGGACTAAATATGGTCCCCTGACCCGTAGAATCCATGCCGCCTGGCACTGCGACACAAATGGGATTACCTGGTTCATATACAGACGAATTATAATCACAAAATCATGAAAACACCAATTTAATCACCTTAGACACATATAGCTAAATAGCATGGTAAGCTAACCACTCTGGCCCACAAGATCCAGAGCTTGATACAGCCCGCTGAGCCGCATCAAGTTATCTACGCGCTCAATCCTACATATCCACCATGTGATACACATGCATATGTTCCGCCGACGCCACCCATGTCTCAGCCCTCCAAAACCTGCCCTGTGTCTTTCGACCTTGAAGAACCATGTGTCAATATTCCAAGCATCAAATTCATCACGGTCTATGCATTAAAAAACTTAACTACGTGGCCCGAAAGTTTTCCATCACGATAGACACGATTTCCGCAGATTTTTACTCTTGAAAGAGAATTTATAAGATGGGGAAATGTTTTGTTCATTGGGACATTTCCTGTGGTGGTTTTCCTTACTTAGACTTGCCTATTCATTGCATGCTTGCATACTCATTATACTTACATACTCATCACTTGCATACTTACACTTGCATACTTCCATTAACATTGTTTGACATACACCGATGAATTTCTGCAACGCACAGCGTCATGCTTTTGAAAGCGCAGACTTACACCAGGGTATATATGGCATTCAAATGATTTTCCGAAAGATCCCTTCGTAATGCTTTCGAGAATCATACCAATAAAAAAACCTCCATACGTTCGATGCCGCTCAGGCCACCGTTCATCGTTCCTAGCAAAGCCTCAGAATGCTCATCCTTCAAGAGAAACAGAAAAAGTAGAACTGCAAGTGCTGGAGGAGTTATGGTTCCATCCTTTCGGCTTTCCGAGTGGATTGAAGGAAGACAGATGCT